TGAGACAGGATGGAAAAACATGTAGAAGTGAGTAGCTTGCCATTTATTAGGGGATTATCTTTGATCTAGTTATCTAGGCATCTCAAGGAGAGTTTTAACTATCAAATTCTCTGAAAATTTTCAGAGAAAGACCTCTGCAGATCAGTCAATCATGGCTGTGAACATGTGTGTGTTAACAGTAATGACTCGTACATCTGCAAGTGCCATGAGGGATTCATACTAAGAGAGGATGGGAAAACTTGCAGAAGTAAGTAGCCTGATTCTTAATAGAAGATTAAGTAGTAATCTCTCTTTTCCAAGAAGTGTTTTAACGAGCAAGTGCTCTCAATTATTTTCAGATAAAGATGTTTGCAATTCAGTTGACCATGGCTGTGAACATCTTTGCGTTAATATTGATAGTTCATACATTTGCCAGTGCTATGAAGGATTCATATTAAGAGAGGATGGGAAAACATGCAGAAGTAAGTAGCTTGATCTTTACCAGACAATTGTGTCTTCAGCAGATAAGAAGAGAAGAAACTTCAGTTTTCTTTTAACTGGAAGACCATCCTTATGATGTTTGCATTTGTAAAAGTGATTTAATTAGCAAACCTTCTTAACAATTCACAGATAAAGACCTCTGTAAGTCCATTGACCATGGCTGTGAGCATGTTTGCGTTAATACTAACAATTCATATACCTGCCAGTGCAATGAGGGATTCATATTAAGAGACAATGGGAAAACTTGCCGAAGTGAGTAACCTGACATTTATTTGCATATGTTGTTATACACAAAGAAGTTCAGAATCCTTTTCTTGGAATTTTGTCCTTGTAATCTTTGAATTTACAGCAGTACTTTAAATGGGATGCTATATTAAATATCCAAACTATTACCAGGTGAAGATATCTGCAAATCAGTTGACCACAGCTGCGAGCATGTTTGTGTTAACAATGATGATTCATACATCTGCAAGTGTCACAAAGGATTTGTCTTGGACATCGATCAGAAGAAGTGCAGAAGTTAGTATTTTGATCTTTAATACATTTAATTCCGTCTTCAGTATTCATGCCTTTTAGTGTAAAGTAAGTTGATCTGGTATGGCTTCTTCAAAACTTGTAAGAAATCACAAGGCATACCTGACCAAAATGGAAAATTCAACTTGAAGCCTTTGTAAGCAATACTTATTAAGAAAGTAAGAAGAATTGGCTTTATAAAACAAAGTATAATAATCATTATTTCTAAATCTTTTCTTCTCGTTTTTAGAAATAACAGACTTACTCATCTTGTCCTCATGGGTCATGATTTATAAGCCTGTGATCATTCTTATTGCTCTCCACTGGACTCACCAATTACATCTTAGAGTGAACAAACTGAACACAGTACTTCAGCCAAGGCCTTACCTATACTAGTTAAAGAAGAGTAATAATTTTCCTGCATATTTTATGCCTGTTAATATATCCCTGAATGAGGTTTCATTTTTATGCAACAAGATCACATTGCTGATTAACACTAGGTTTGTGATCTACTCTATCTACCAGATTCTCCTCTGTAGAACAGCTGCCTAACTTTTGGGATATTAGGTCCCTCCTTTCCAGCAATTGGGATACGTTCCTCTTCTTTTATTACCAGGTTTGCATTGCAGCAGGATATCCCCATGAGAAGGGATCTCATGAGCCATCTAGTTTAACTCTTCACAGGCACATAATTTACTGTTCCTATACCATCCCAAGTGGATAGCTATTTAGCCTCTTCCTAAAAACCTTCAAAGAAAGTGTCATGGCTTCCCCCAACTGTTGTCCTACTGCTTAAGGAAGTAGCAAGCTGTTCCCTGAAATTTTATATCCTGACCTTTAGAAATCGAGGACTTGGTTGTGGTAGCCAAGTGGCCAACAGCCAGTCTCTTCTCCATGGATCAGCTGATTTTACCCTGGTCCCAGCTCTTGCAGTGCTGCTACTTCCATCTTGAGACTACTAGCTTCCATTTGCATTTTGTTGGAGAAGTGCTTGTGTTGTCAGCTATCTCACATACAAGCTACCCCCCCACCCACTTTTAGAGGGAGTCCAGCAGTAGGCATCTTTCACACCTACCTTTCTCTTCTGACAAACTCAGCTAGGTAACTCCACTGGTCTTTCGTGTGCCATACTCTGTTCAGCAGTCAGTAGAAGTCTTTTGCAAAACATAACTTGTCTCTTTCTTCAAGTTGTAATAAGCAGTGCAACAATGAGTTACCATCTAAACAATATAAGAAAGTTATCTTTCAGATGTTAATGACATGTAAGCAACAACAATGTTTTATGTTACTTAAAGAATACAGCTATATCCCAATATGTAGTTGTATTCTGAATAACTATGCCAAATTGTAGGCAGGACAAAGTCCTAGTTGATATTTATATTAGGTTAATTTTTAGAGTGTTACCATGAAAAATATGCTAAATATGTTAATATCAACAAAACAGCCTAGCTGCTGAGTGGCAGAGAGAGCCAGCAATACAGGTGGCCCAATGGAGGCTGCATCCCTCACTACGATGTGCAGCACTGGCCAGAGCCATGCCCCACTGGGCGCCTGCGCTCTAAGCACCCCACCTGCTGCTGCCACTGCTGCCTGCACCTGCTAGGGCTGTGTGCTATGGGATGTGGGGGAGGGGAGCGGTTCCTACACTCCCCCATCCTCCCTCGCACACCCACATGGTGCCCAGAAAAGCTCTGTGCTGCCACTACCCCCCTGGGCATGGGCTCCACGCTGCTAACAGCCCCAGCTCCATCCTCAACCTCTACGCTCAGACCCAGCTGGAGCCCTGCCCCTGCTGCTTCCCTACCTGCTGCCCGGAGACTGGAGCCAGCAGGAGACCAGAGAAGCAGAGTAGGTCCCTGGTGGTTGGAGCAGTGGCAGCAGCAACTCCGCACAGAAGCTGAATGCTGGCCGAGCCAGTCTCTTCCCCCCATGCGGGTGGAAACAAGGCAATAGGGTATGTTTGGGGGGTGGGTGTATGCATGGGTGCCTTGCTCCCAACCTCACTGGTGGAAGGGCTGGGCAGGGCACAATTTGTTGGTGGGCTCTGTGGACTGGATGAAAGTGCTTGGCAGGCCTGATCTACCCTTTGGGGCATATTTTGCCAGTCCCTGGCCTAGCAGATCAGTACTCTGAGTCTGCTGATCCTGACACTGATAAAATTAATAAGACAAAGTTAATTGGGTACAGACAAAGGAGATATTGGAAATGTCTCAGAATAAAGGCATGAATCTCATAGTCTTCCCCCAGACAAATTTCCCCCTCAAAAATTGGTGTGAAGTTTGATGGCGAATATTACAAGATTTGACCTAAAACTATTTAAACACATGTATTCATTTTTTTTTCTGTCCATTCTCAGTAAAAGTCCATTTCTATGGGAATGAATTTAGAAGTAATGATATTTAATCCTCATTAATTTTCTTCACTATTTTTATGCCTTACTCAAGCAGTAAGGAAAAAACCTAAAGTTTCAGATGAGAAGACAGCATAAATAGTAACATAAAATAAAAAATATAGTTATTTTAGTAGGATTTTCAGCAGAGAAAAACTTCATAATAAGTTATAATAATTCATTTCTTGTAAAACTGACAATGAACTATTAGTACATTGATTTAAAGACTAGCCATGGCACTGGTCAAGGTAATATCTAAGATTATCAGTGCATTAGCAAATTTAGCATCACAGCACTCCTGGGATGTAGGAATGTATTCCCAGTGATTTCTGTTTTACAAAATGGGGTTGAAACACAAAGGGCACGTCTGCACATACATTTACTTCTGTCTAAATTTACTCTGGTGTAAGATACTCCAAAGTAAGGGGTTTTGGCAGCTGCCCACACAAGTGGGAATTAAGGAGCAGATTTGCATCCAGTTCCCTGCAGCCGTGCAGTGGGCCCATGGTGTCACCAGGCGGGGCTCCAGGCTCCAACTGGGTGCTAGCTCAGGGCTGGCAGGGATCACTGGGCCAGGAACAATGTCCCCCTGCCCCAGCAGCAGGGAGCTCCTGGCCTTGGCTCCCCAGTCAGGGACATAGGGCTTGGGAAGAGCTGCAGGGTAAGGACAGGTTGTTATTAATTTTTAGTGAGACTTAGGTATCTGAACACCTTTGAAAATCGGGCCCTATTGACTTGCTCAGGCTCACAGGGGTTGAGTTTAATGCAGGTGCCAAGTTCCAGATTAAACCCTAATCACTGGTCCGTCTTGCTATCTTAATTTTTTGCTTTTATTTTATTCATGCAGGATGTACTGAAGGCCCAATTGATCTGGTGTTTGTGATTGATGGTTCAAAAAGTCTTGGGCAGGATAATTTTGAAATTGTGAAACAGTTTGTCTCTGGAATCTTGGATTCGCTTGAGATTTCTCCCAAATCTGCTCGAGTTGGTTTGCTTCAGTATTCCACCCAAGTCCGCACAGAGTTTACATTAAGACAATTCAACACAGCCAAGGAAATGAAAAAGGCTGTATCCCAAATGAAATACATGGGGAAAGGTTCCATGACTGGACTAGCCCTGAAACAAATGTTTGAGAGAAGCTTTACTGAAGCAGAAGGAGCAAGGCCATTTTTATCAAGGGTCCCTCGAGTCTGTATTGTGTTTACAGATGGACGAGCCCAAGATGAAGTCTCTGAGTGGGCTGGCAAAGCAAAGCAGAATGGTAAGCTGCAACTTCTTCGTCACTGTTTTTTAGGGTAGTATTATGAATAAAATGTTCCAATGTACCTTGGTCAAGACACTGGCTAATGCATGTACTGCTGCAGCCTCTGCTGGGGAGAATCAGTTTTACCACAAAGAATTACATGTTGAACCTTCAGAGGCTGCGTACTTCAGTACACAGTAGTTTCCTGGCTTACCTTGAATATTGTGCCATGCTTTGGAGGAACTTAACCTGGATGAAGAATTAAATATCACACAAAAAAATCTCAAAATACCATACATGCACAGTTCCACTGGAGAACAACCTGGCAGAGATACCATATTACATACTATTATTGTTAAAGTACATCACAGATTTGGAATTAATTATAATGGAGGGGCTGGACATTTTCAAGTCAGCTGGTCCGGATGATCTCCACCCTAGCGTTCTAAAGGAACTGGCTGAGGTCATTGCAAGTCCCCTGGCACGGCTTTACGAGCACTTGTGATGCTCTGGAGAGGTACTGGAGGACTGAAAGAGGGCCAACGTGGTTCCCATCTTCAAAAAAGGGAGGAAGGAGGACCCGGGAAACTATAGGCCAGTTAGTCTTACCTCGATCCTAGGCAAGCTGTTCAAGAAAATTATTCTGGCACACATCCAGGAGGGGCCAGCAGGGGACTGCATGCTTAGGGGCAA